GTTAAAGTCCAGCGGAGACTCGATCCTTCCCCGACCCCGCGGTCCTTCCCTTGACTCGTGGATGCCGTGACAATGGACACTCTAACACTCCTGTCATTGAATTAAAGGTGTTGTGTTCGAGATGTGTAAAACATGTTCTAAGCATGTTTCAAATATGTGTTTAACATATTGAAAACATGTTTGAAACATGTTTCAGGTATCTGGAAATCATTTGGCAGCATGCTTCCTCTCCATTATTCGACTTGACGATACTACCGTATGGCGCGGTGAAAACCCCTTGAGGACTCAACAAGCATAACAGTAGGAGCAGCCTCCAGGGCCCTTCACTAAAAATGTCCTCCTCCTCCTCCTCCTCCCCCTCCTCCTCCTCCTCCTCCTCCTCTTCCTCCTCCTCCTCCTCCTCCTCCTTTCCCTTGCTTTCCCAAGTGCTCCCCCATTCCACAGAGGCTGGGGGAACACATAGTCCGACGGCTTGGCTGGACGTCCGCCGAACGTTTGGTTGCATGGGCGTTTCCAAAACACAGGGGGCGGCGGAAATTCGCCGTAAGAGTCTTCGATACACGCCGAAGAAGGCAAGAAAGCTGACCCAGCTTTCTGCAAAGTATCAAAAAAATGCCCATCCTAACACGCACAATTACTCTCGAGAGGCAACATGTAAGATGTGTCCAACTTCGCGGAAAATTCCAAATGAACAACGCTGCTGTGACCGCGAAACCAACTCTGGCCCACCCCCGCCTTCGGGTCCCTCTACCGTGTGGCCTGCATGCGAACTCTGGCGACCGGCAGAGAAACTCGGTCCGCAGCAATATCCTGAGCCGAATCGAACATGAAACGCTCAGAATATAAAACAGGGGACGACGGTTGACATCACAAGTAAAACTCGAGCAGAAGACAGAGAGACAGGTTGTCCCGCAGAAGGCACCTAAGGCGCAGCGGGTTGGCGTCAAGCGCCGATGCTGGGCTCTCAGACTCTGGAGATTAAAATTTGAGCAGCCCGAGTCAGAAGAACGAGGACAAGTGTCAGAGCCAGAGTCGGAGATAACGCAGGGGTCGAGGAGGTAGGAGCCGGAGTCGGAGAGACGACAATGGTAAATCGAAGCCGGAGTCGGAAAAATACGAGCTGGACGTGGTGTCGTCGGAGCTGGAGTCGGACAGCATGAGTCGGAGAGGCGCCGGACGCAGGAATCGGACAAAAGAGAATCTGCTATCTCGAAATGGATCTGGAGAGCGCAGGGGTCGGAGAGGTAGGAGCCGGAGTCGGAGAGACGACAATCAAAATACCCGAGACGTACCGAACCCCTTCTCCAGGGGAGGCGATTGCTTGTTTGACAGCTACATACAAAAGAACACGTCGCCTAGTATGCACGATCAGGGCTGCCCTCATCTCCGCCGTGCCTCCCAGGAGCCCACGAAAGTGGCGCACTTCGTAGCCTCCCAAGGAGCAGCGAAGTCTCGTCTAGGTGCGCATGGCCCCCGATTCCGCTGTACTTTCCCCAAGAGCCCACGAAAGTGGCAACAGTTCAGATGCGCAGCTCGCAACCACCCAAAGAGATGCGACGTCTTAGATACTCCACTACTCCGCCGTGCCTCCCAGGAGCCCACGGACATGGCAACAGCTGCGAGGTCTCGGGTGTTCCGCTACTCCGCCGTGCCCCCAAGGAGCGCACGAACGTGGCGACAGTTGCACGCTCGCAGCCACCCAGCGGGTTGCGAGGTCTCACGTACCCCGCTACTCCGCCGAACGGCTCGCCACATTCGCGGGCTCCTGGGAGGCTCAACTTCCCAGGAGCACACGAATGTGGCGACAGTTGCACCTTCGCAGACACCCAAGAGGCTGCGAGGTCTCACGTACTCCGCTACTCCGCCGAGCGGCTCGCCACATTCGCGGGCTCCTGGGAGCCTCCGCCTCCCGAGAGCCCACGAGTGTGGCGACTGTTGCACCTTCGCAGACACCCCGGAAGTTGCCCACGAAACTGGCGAGAGCTGCGCAATTCGCAGCCACCCAAGGAGCTGCGAGGTTTCAGGTACCTAATCGGCCCCGATCGCGGGCGCCCACGCGGCGGCAGGGCATGCTGTCTGCGGCGGCATGGCGCCCTGCGACGGGCTAGTAACACACGACATGGAGCCTCCAGCACCAGGGGCCTCGGCGGCGCTGGCTGCCCAGGGGTCGAGATCCCGAGTGTGCCAAGGGTCCGTTGTGGATATGTCGTTGCTGTCGTCACTGGCCACGCCCACGATGCCTCCGAACGACGACGGCGAACGAAGAGCGCTAGCCATGCAATTTGGTGCACGTTCCACGATGCGACCCACGCGCCCAAGCATAGTCGTGAGACTCTTGAATTCAGGCTCCGCGGCTGGAACTAGATTGCCGCATGGCTCGAGTAGCGTCATGAGTTGGCTAGATGCGGCGCCGACCGCTCGGAGGGCGGCTAGCTACAGCATTCCCAGACATCGCCGGTCCACCGTTGCGCGCAACTCGGAGTCGCATCGTGAGAAGCCGCGAGAGCAGCGCATCGGTGGTCTCGCTGCGGCGCCTCGAGAACTCGAAGAACCCGCGGGTAGCCTGGAGGCACGACTCCTCGCCCAGTGGACCGAAGCGAATGGCAAGCTTCGCGATGAGGTGTGTCACGGCGTCCTCGTGCTCGTCATTGACTACGCCTCCCTCTGTCATCTCCGCGAAGATCATGGAGCGCGTGAGCTCGCGAGCGGCTCTACCAATCATATGTAAGGATGACGGCAGCGCATTGTTGGGCGATGTCAGTGTCGGAAGCGAACGCGCCCCTCGCGAGCAAGTCATGTACCCAATGACGGAACAGATACACTGACTCGCACTCAGGCGACAGGCAGGACGGATGGCGGGAAGTGATGCTACCGCGGCCGCCTCCACCGCCCTGTGGGCCGCCTCCACGGGGCACCATGCCAGTGAGCCAAAGAAGCGCGATCATGAAGAACATGGGGATGCTGCCCCATAGATCCAAGATGGATACTATTCCCGGTTAGAGTCTACCACGATGGGAGCTGCGGAGGCGTTTTGGGACCCAGGCCTGCGCAAGAGCGAACGCCATACCGAAGTTGGGGGCAGCCGTAATGGTGCCGACAACCGTGGTCGAGACCCAGGGAGGTGAGAACGGCGCATTAACATTCAGTGGCTCATTTGGGTGGTGCGACGCGCTCGCGAGGACAGCTAGCACTGTCGCGCACATCACGAGGCACAGTATTAGCCTGGGTAAGAGCTTCGGCGTCATGCCCGACGCGAAGCTACGACCAGCTCCTGTGGAGTGCGATGGGTCGTGTGAAAGTCGTGGAGTTCCCTTGGGCGGGTCGCTCCACATCGCGTAGCTTGCAGCTGCTTTTGCCCTCACAGCCGGATCCTCACAAACACTCGACAGATGTTGCTGGTTTGTGGGCGCCCGGGACGAAACATCCCTAGGTTTACACGACAGCAACAAGCATAAGCTGTTCATGGATTGGAGGGTGGTACCCAGGCGGAGGCGAGGGGAATGGCGAATGCGCGTCCACATATAACTCTGCGCACGTTCTGTGGATCGCGAGCTGGGATCGTTCCCAGTCCCGCTGCCAACTATAACTGCCGGGGCTGAAAGCTTGACGAGAGAAGTGTAGAAAGCGGGCTCTTAAACTCACGAATCCAGTTTAGTACGCGCTGGTGCTCAAGCCAAACGGCGGCTGAGCATCTTCTTCGAACGAGGAAAAGGAAAAGGAGGAGGAAGAGAAGGAGGAGGAGGAGGAGGGAGGATGGAGAATGGAGGACGGAGGATGGAGGATAGAGGATAGAGGCTGGAGGTAGAGGAGGGGAGGGAAGAAGAGGAGGATCAAGAGGAGAATAATGGTTTAGAGCGACACACTCCGAGATTTGCTCGGCCCCACGTCTGCACAAACAAAAAGAATCCACTACCGAGGAACTCAACATTTTCAGTATACGCTTTTGTGTTCATATCTTGTGAACACCCGTGCACCCCTCCTGGTATCGAGACAGCACCACGCCTGCCACGCGTTGCGACCCTGGCGTGAACAGCGACCCTACCACCAGCACAACCCCTGCTGCATCGAGAAAGTGCAACGCCTGCCACGCTTTGCAAGCATGGCACAGATAGCGACCCCACCCCCGGCGCACGGCACGCGGTGCCGTGAAAGATGCCACGCCCGCCACGCGTTGCAGCCCTGGCGCGGCGAGCGCCCCCCCCCCCCCAGCACACCTCCTGCGGTGCCGAAAACCGAGCGCTGGCGCAGCGAACGGCAGCAAAGTGCGGACGCTCTGACGCTCTTGACGCTCTGATTAGGTCGGGCGTGTCCCCCAACAGGAAGATCTTGGACGAAACATAGAAAAATGCAACGGATGCGGCAGCCACCCACAGCGCGCCCCCTGTGTTGTCGGGTGTGTTGTCAGGCAATTGGTGCTTACCTGTGCGTGATGTGTGTATGCTGTGTATCTGTGCTGTGTGATTTGCACATGTGGGTATGATGTCTCGTGTGCGTGTGTCTAGACTGTGCGTGCGCGTGCGGGTTGCCCGATCGCCACAGCAGCAACCTCTGCCCAGCCGCCGACGCAGGTAAAAAGTGTGTGCATGCGGGTGAGACGGAGAGGGTGGAGGTGGAGGGGGAGGAGGGGGAGACGCGGGTGCTATGAGCATCGTTTATCCGATCCCTATCCCCAGCGGCGTGGCCGGGGCCCCACTGGCCGATTTACCCCCCTAGATAGGGGATATAGGCCGTTCCCTTCGGGTTTCGAGGGGTGTAGCCCCAACTGGGGGGGCAATCTGGTGGGGGTCTCGAAGGGGATGGGGATGGGGATGGAGGTCGGTGAAGCGATACTGGTGCTAGGAGGCGCGGGTAGAGACGCGGGAGGAGAGGAGGGCAGGAGGAGGAACGCGGTTGCGACGCGGGCGGACGGCGGCGCGGACCTCGCCGCTCGCCGACGCGCTGCTGCGACGTCGCCTGTGCTGCCGCGGCTGGCGCAGCGCCGCTGGCCGCTGGGGCGCGGGCTACCTGCCGGGCGCGGCAGGCCCCAGGGCCAGCGGCGCGAGGCCCTGCTCCACCACCGAGCGGACGCCGTCGGCGTCCATCCGCCGCGCGGGGTCGACCGTCAGCGTCCTGGCGAGCACCGCGCCGCCGAGGGGCTGCAGGGGGCGGAGCTCTGGGCGGCAGCGCTCCTCCAGCAGGCGGGCCGCCGCGGCGGGCATGCGGAAGAAGGTGCGGATGCACTCCGCGAGCGCGGTGTTGACGCCCAGGGGCCGCACCTGCAGCCCCGCGTGCTCGATCGCGAGCTCCACCACGCGCACCCCGCAGAGCACCTCCGCGAAGACCACGCCGAGGCTCCAGATGTCCGCCAGGCAAACGTCGTAGGGGCTGTCCAGCAGCACCTCGGGGGCGGCGAAGGGCAGGGTCCCGCAGGGGCTGCTGCACATCTTGCCCTCGTCCTCGAAGGAGACAGCGAGGTCGAAGTCTGTGAGCTTGATCGTGATGGACTCTGGCGTCTCGTTCACCATGATGTTCTCTGGCTTAATGTCGCGTTGGCAGACATGCACCACCGTGTGCAGGTGCCACACCAAGTCGACCGCCTGGGTGATGATCGTCACAACCTTGTCCAGGGACAGTGGCCGCGCATTCTCAGCCTGCAGTGTCTGGCGGTCGCGCAGGCGCTTGTACAAGTTCTCTGGGCCCCCGTACTCCATCCGGAAAAGAATGTGCGTCGGCGTGTGGTAGGTGCGGTGCAGGCGGATGATGTTCGGGTGCCGCCCCTGCTCATCGCTCAACATGTTCATCACGCGGATCATTCTGTTCATGTACATGAGGTCTTTGATCCGCGTGATGCCCTCGGTGGGCACTGCCTTGACAACCTCGACGCTGTTTCCCGTCTCCGGCCTCTCCGTCAGCTTGTAGACGGCCCCGAACGACCCCTGCCCGAGCTTGTTCCCGACGATGTACCCTGGAACCTGCTGCGGGTCTCCGGGCTCGAGGGTGTGGTCCACCGCCGGGATGTCGGGCGCCAGGCGAGCCCTCACGTAGTCCCACAGGGTCGCGTGTGCGCAGCGCTGCAGGTACTGTCCGTACTGTCCTCGATTGCGCGCCTCCGTGAGCATGTCGTTCAGCTTCTCCGGGATGGTCGCCGACTTTTTGATCTTCATGCGCACGGCCATGGAGAGCCGCAGCCCCGCGGGCTCGCCGCTCACGATGCCGTCCAGGCCCCTGGTCAGGATGTCGTTCACCTGGTCTGCCCGCATGAGGTCCGTGTGGCCCCGCTTGTCGGGCGCCACGGAGTGGGGCACCCAGAACATCGGCGGGGCGTCGCTGCTTGTCACGTCGATGTTCGTGATGACGTCGCAGAGCCTCTGGACCTCGCTGACCTGGTTCGGGTTGCAGAACACCAGGATCGTTTGCAGCTTGGCCGAATCCTCATCGCTGATCAGTGGCGGGCCATTGCTGACATCTCCTCTGGAGATCACGTGCCTCGAGAAGAGAAAACAGCGCAAACGTAAAAATTTGGAGGTCCACGCGGATTTCTTGGACCTGCACCGGAACCCCCTCCCTGCCGCGCGGAGCGCGCCAGGCGGGGGCCCCCCCCCGCGCGAATCCAAGAGATCCGCGCCGAGCGCACAAAGTTTATGATTGTGTGTGTGTGTGTTTCGTTCTTTTTCGAGCGCCACACGTCGCGGAAGGCCTCGGGGGCCTCCAGGTCGCTGGTGCTGAAAATGCGGACACCTCCTCCGAAATCATCCTTGGAGCAGGGACCGGCCGCCCTGGCATTCCTATAGGCCTACCACGACATGTTCGTAGAACCCGAAAAGGCTCTAAAGACTAAAAACAGTGTTCTTAGAACAGGAGCCCAATGTGACAAAGCACGACAGTCCCAGCCAGAAACGTTCTAATAACATTTCGTGGAGACCACAAAAGGCTCTTAGAACATTCTTCCGCAGGCCTATAGGCGAGCCAAGACCCTTCGCCACTGCTGGAATCCTGGGAGAGGCCGCGCAGGCGGCTCTCCAGCCAGGCCTGCGACAACGCGCGGGCCTCGTCGTCCTCGCGGTCCTCCTGCTGCAAGGGCGGCCCGCGCCGCGGCGGGTCGAAGGCCATGCCCTGCACCAGGCTCGTCATGCTCGCAGCGGGGCGGCGGCCAGCCTTAAGTCGGGCCTGTCCCCCTACAGGGGGATTCGGGGCGACAAATGAAAAATACCAGAAAGACTTCCAGATGATGAAAAAATAATCAAAACATCATCCCCAGCGGGACGAGAAATAAAAACTACAAGAAATACTTCCAGATGATCAAAAACTAGTCAAAACAGCATCCCCAGACTGTTCTTCGACTATCTCTGAACACTCCCCCTGCAGAGGGACAGGCCCGACGGAAGGCCAGCCGCCCAGGCCCGCCGGCAGCCGCGGGGAAGTGTCGGGGGCCAGGTCGGGCAGGCCGCCAGGCGTGCGGAAGCCCAGAGGCCTCAACCTGTCTCGAGCCGCGACGGGCACGACGGACCCTCAGCCTGCGTGGCTCCACATCCGCGGGCCTCCCCTCTGCGAGGGGGGGGGGCAGCAGGCCGTGCGAGGCAAGCTTCGGGAGCTGAGCAGCTCGTTTCTCGCCACCAGGACAGGGAGGATCGGCAAGGGCAGGCAAGCAGCGAGGAGGAGGAGGAGGAGGAGGAGGAGGAGGAGAGGAGGAGGAGGAGGAGGAGGAGGAGGAGGAGAGGAGGAGGAGAGGGAGGAGGAGGAGGAGGAGGAGGAGGAGGAGGAGGAGGAGGAGGAGGAAGGAGGAGGAGGAGGAGGAGGAGGAGAAGGGGGAGGGGGAGGAGGAGGAGGAGGAGGAGGAGGAGGAGGAGGAGGAGGAGGAGGAGGAGGAGGAGGAGGAGGCTCTGCATGGCACAACAAGCCAGCAGAAGCGAGCAGGCAAGTGCAAGTAGGCAGTAGCCAGGCAGGGCAAGAATGGCAAGGGGGTGGCAACAACCCAGCAGCAGAGAGCAAGCGAGGAATGGTACACCTTGCGAAATGCTCAAGAAACCATGGGTGAAGAAATTCAGAGTCTCAGAACTGGAATAAAAGCCCAGAACTTCTATCAAAATCTTGGGATTTACATTGGAAAGTTAAGAATAATCGAGACTCTGGCCGAAAACTTGGGTTTTCTTAAGCATCGCCTAAGGTGTAGGCAAGCAGCAGCCTCAAGCAGGCTGTGTGAAGCAAGCAATCGATGTCAAGCATTTAGCACAACAACATCAACAACAGCAACAACAACAACAACAACAACAACAACAACAACAACAACAATTACTAGCACGTGGGGACACACCGTTCTCACCAGTGCCAGGGTTTTCATAGGAGGCGGGCAATACCCCCACTTTGTGGGGGGGCCGGTTCAAGCTCTACCAAATTTCCAAACGACTCTTCGCCACCACCCACACCCAGCTTCCCGCCCTATGACGTTCGGACACTTCACTTCGTGGCATGCGGACGACCGTGGCTACTATTCAGGGCCCCGCGGCCGACGACGACGGCGTGCGCGCGCGAAGAAAAAACGAATGTGTCCCGCATGGTATTATTTGACAGGGATGATGGCCCTGGCAGGTGCGCAACCGTTGTTGCAGAAGTTCGAAAAAGTTGCTCGCAAAAGCCCGTTTGACAGAAATGATTAAAAAGTGTTGGGTTTCCTACGAATCCGCAAGAGCGCGCGGGATGAAATTTTGACATTTTTGTTTGAAAAACCATTGGTTTTTTGATGTTTTTATGTTAAAATCGCTACGAAAACTAAGGTTTTGGAAGGATTTCGTCTTGCGCGCGCGAATGTCCACTTTACCTTATTTTTTGCAAGGGATTCTTGAAGTTTGGTTATGTTAGAACAAGAAATGTCCACTTTAGCTTATTTTTTGCAAGGGAAAACCGATCGTAACAACACAACCGGATCCGGACCACCCGTTTTGCCTGAGACTTCCTCACGAAAATGATGAAAATGAGGCTGCGGCTTAGGCGCGGCGGGGGGGTCGTGCACAGGGGTCCCAACAATAATTATTCTTAAGAAGAAATAATGTTCAACAACAGCAACAACAACAACAACAACAGCAGCAGCAGCAGCAGCAACAACAACCACAACGACAACAACAACAACCACACGACAACCACAACAACAACAACAACAACAAACAACACAACAACACAACAACAACAAACAACAAACAAACAACAACAACACAGCACAACAACAAACAACAACAACAACAACAACAACAACAACAACAACAACAACAACAACAACAACAACAACAACAACAACAACAACAACAACAACAACAACAACAACAACAACAACAACAACAACAACACACACACGCACACACTACGCGAATACATGGAATGCAATAGCCAGCAAGTTGTATCCAGCAAGCAAGGGCAACGGCATCAAAGTACCATCGGAGACGCGTGACCGAACCTGCTGGGGTGACAAGTTCGGACTTTCGAATTACGTATGGAAATGCCGTGCCAAACATGTTCAAGAGACGTGTCGAGGCCAGGACTGCTGGACCAATTCTTGGAATCGCATTACCGAGGCGCTCCCGCATCAGACCGAGATCGGGCCGAGCCAACCAGGTCTCTGGGGATGGGCAAGATGACCTGTAGGCAGGCAAATTCGAAGAATCCTGCTTCCATAAGACCATTGTCCTTGATCAGAGTGTAGCCCAGATGCTGGTAGGGGGGGCACGCCCACTGTAATCAAGATGACAAACATACGGCTACTAGCATGGATGATAGAATTATGTGTCTGGCATATATTCGTGAATCCGCTGAAAATTTCCTGATTTGTCACCTAAATAATGTTACCTGCTGTGGTGAAGTGGCTGAGAACGTGCTGGAGAGTCTTTGACTCTCCATGCCAACACCACTTGCAAGTTTCGCTTAGGCGTTTTCGAGAATTGACGCGAAGCAACGCTCCACTGCCATGCCGAATCCAGAGCGCTGCCAGACTGCCAATGAGAAACACGTCTGGCCGTGAATCCGCGACCCTGCCCCCTGGCACGTTGAGGCGTCGCAAAGCCTGACCGGGTAAGATGGGAAGCGCCACTGTTGTCCACTCGGCTTGTAAGCCCTACAGTGGAGGCCAGTCCCAAGAGGCCTCCAAGACGCCCTTCCAGGACGGCCCTGGGGCACCCCAAGAGGGCCCAAAGTCGGCACAGAGAGGCCCCCAAGACGGCTTCCGACGACGTCCGACGGGCCAGGACGGCCGAAAAGTCCCCCAAGAAGCCCCGAAAGGCCCCCAAGAGGCCCAAGGAGGCCCCCAACATGCCTCAAAGATGCCCCCAGGGAGTTCCCAGGAGGCCCCAAGAGTGCCCCCAGAGGCTCCCAAGATGCCCCCTCCTCCTCCTCCTGATCTTCCCCGCCATCCTCCCCCAAGTGTTCCCTGAAGGGCCTCTACAACGGCTGGGGGAAAACATAGTCAGCTAGCTTGGCAGAGCTCTTGCCACAACGATCGGCCAAATGGGCGATTCCAAAAGGCAGGGGGCAGCGGTGATTCGCCGTAGGCGTCTTCGAGAATTCGGGACCCTGTAAGTTGCTGCATAATCCTGAGGGTTCCTGAAGGTTCCCAGGGGGGCCTGCAAGATCAAGATCCCTAAAAGACTCCTATAGCTTCTCGCAGGACTCGTGCCGGCTCAAGAAGGATTCCTGAAGACTCCTGCCTGAGTCAAGCTGAATTCCTGAGGGTTCCTGGGTATCTTTAGGACACCTGGCGCTTCGCGTGGATCCCAGAGGTGTCCTCGAGACTCCTGCGGGTTCTTCAGGCTGCCCACAGGGGGCGTGATGAGATTGGCTGTCCCCAGCTTTCATGGAAGCCTCCGTTGAACCGCACGGACGAACCATCACGGTTCTCCGTGTGCCACCACCCATCATGTCAGGCCCAGCAGGACCCCCCAGCCCTGAGAACATCACCACCCCCACCCCGCACCGACCGCGGCTTCTTTCGTTTTAGCCCTGCGCCCCAGGCTCCCACATCCTCGAGGCGGGAATGACACAGTCGCCGCTGCGGAAGGGGGAAGCCGCGAGCGAGCACGGACCCCCCCTCCGTCAGAGCCGCCAGAGAACTGCACGCCCACACCCTCCTCAGACTCAGGCGAGCCCAGAATCGAATCGGTAAAGCCGGATCGGCGATCGAAATGAATCGGATCGGCGGAAAGCGGCACACGAGTCGGAAAAAAACGAATCGGCGGAAATCGGCAGGCTGGTAGGCTTCGATGAAAAGAAGGAACCCGAAGTCGAATCGAATCGAATCGGAAGCCATCCGAAGTCGAATCGAGTCGGATCGGAATCGCGCAGCTGGCGCCGCACACAGGGCGAGCGCCAGCGTCGCTCTCGATGGAGGGGCCGCGGCGCGAGGAGAGGGGAACGCACTCGGGAGCGAGGGAGGGAGGGAGGGAGGGAGGGAGGAGGGAGGGAGGGAGGGAGGGAGGGAGGGAGGGAGGGAGGGAGGAGGGAGGGAGGGAGGGAGTGGAGGGGCGGGAGGGGCGGGAGGGCGGAGGCGGAGGAGCGGAGGAGGAGGAGGTAGGAGGAGGAGGAGGAGGAGGAGAGGGAGGAGGAGGGCGGGGGAGGAGGAGGTCAACGCGGGAGATTCGGGGCGGGCAGAGGCCGCAGAGAGGAGAGACCGAGGGGGAGAGGAAGGACCCGAGACACAGAGCCCCGCAAGGAGCAGGGAAGGAGGGAGGGAGGAGGGAGGGGGAGGAGGGGGAGGAGGAGGAGGAGGAGGAGAGGAGGAGGACCGACCGCCTCTCTCCTCCTCCTCCCTCGTCCTCGCTCCGTCCTCGCGCTTTTCCGTCGCCCTTTCGGATCTGGGCTTTCGGGGATCGCGTGTTCCTTTCAGAGGCTTTTTGAGCCCCCTCCAGGGGATCTCAGAGGTAGGGGGTCATGCGTCGCGCCGCGCGCTCGGGCGCGCGCGCGGCGCGGGCTGCGGCGGATAAGGACCGCTTTGCCCGCAGTGTGGCAGGAGGAGGAGGAGGAGGAGGAGGAGGAGGAGGAGGAGGAGGAGGAGGAGGAGGAGGAGGAGGAGGAGGAGGAGGGGGGGGGAAGGGGCGGCGCGAGGGGCCCGACCTCTACAGCACCTGCCCTGTCATACCTCACGTGCAGCGTAA